ACGAAGGAAACGAAAATTTCACAATTTTTGCGGAGTTTAATGACCCTCTCAATGCTCAAATAACCGTTGTGGAAACCACAGTGACTATAACAGATGATGACGGTAATAAGCTTTGCATGTACTTTTTTTGTGCAAGTACACGAATTTTTATATATATATACATATAGCGTCACGAAAATAAGCATGAAGGGTTGAAAAACCCTCTATAGTACAAGAAATAAATGCATCAGCAACCCTTCGCCATTTAAATTTTGAGAGAATCACCTGAGCTATCCAGACTTAAGCCTACGATTTTCGTTTTTATAGTGAACATGCACAATTCAACGAGAATGAACGACTACACAGCAAAAAATGAATTTCTTAAGAAATTGAATTTTCTTGTTTTAAGAAAATATTTACTTGTTTCAAGAAATAATTTTCTTATTTTGAGAAAATATTTTCTTAAGATATTTTTCTTCTTAATTTGAGAAAACATTTTCTTGAAATAAGAAAATTATTTCTCGAGAAAATATCAGAGATATCACTTTCTTATCATAAGAAAATGTTTTTCTTAAAATGAGAAATTGTTTTCTTAAGAAAATATTGAGATATCAATTTCTTGTTATAAGAAATATATATTCTTAAACTAAGAAAATGCTCTTCGCATTAAATTTGAAGAATTTCAGCTCAGAGTAAACTTCAAAATTACTTTTGTTTCAAATGTTCCTCATTGTTGAAGTTTGTTGATTTCAGAGAGTTATATGGTTCATATTTTATTGTTTTTCGTTCTGATCATTGGATGATTTTATCAATTTAGCTAATTATCAGTATGAGTAAAGTGCCCTAGTCAACAATGAAGCTTTTCGTACTTGCACTTTACAAGCATGGCGTGACATATTCGGTCAAGAACTGTTAAAATAGAACAAAGTCATGATATAATGTTTGCAAAATGCTGTTTTCATTTACAGAAGCGTGAGATAATTCAAAGCATTCAAAGGTTTAATACTGATAATTGTATGGTCCAGCCTGACGCAGAGCATGATTATTCCATTTATCCCATTATGCCTTTCGAGCGTAGACCACGAGGGAAATTTGAATACTTAACGAAACAACCTATAAGAGTATAACGCTATTAACGCATATTAAAGAAATATGGTTCTTTATGGCGGATATGGCATTTGTATCTTGTTATTAACTTTATATATTACCGATAAAGATATGGACGTTTAGGATGTGAGAAAATATACACTATATCGGCGCAAATTTGTGGTATTTCATAAGGTGAGTTGATGTTTCATGATGTCATATGCCAACATGCTGTTATTATATACAACGTATAAACCTTTATTTGTCAGCCTTTGTTAGCCTTAGTCCACCCAATTATAGATCAAGAATTGTATTTAGGTCTTTCTTCATCGTTTAATGATTTGCGCTATGATTTTCCATGTTATTATCTGTTTATATAGTCAAATAGTTGGCTAGCTAAACAATACCTTAGAATTCCTCAGCAATTATGGCCTAGAGCAGCCTATGGCAGTCTTTCTAATGTCTTTGTTTGAAATGTAGGATTAGAGTTGAGTTGTATTTTTAGATTGATACTAAATCCAGAGGGGTTATTAAATGTAACAGTGCTTCTCCACAGTAGGGTTGCGACTGTTTCAAAGGGTATAAATTGTGCATCAGAGTCTGCCTATATCATTAAAATTATCACAAAGCTCTCTATTTTGCCTTCAGATACATTTACCCATACATATTTTGTTAGGGACAATTTTTGGATTTAACACCATTTGATTTCATTGGATAAGGCCTCTATCTATATATTGTTTTAATTACATGCATTTTCATGGTGAATTGATTGGAATTTAAACTATCATAGGGAGGTAGAAAAGCAGTGTAGAATGGGTTGAAGGATGGGTGTATTTGATAATGGTCTTAAAGTAGTTTTCTTAAAGATGCCGGTATTGCAAGCGATAGCTAAAGAATAGCTTAAAATTCCCCAGAGTAGCTAAATTATCATTTACCAGTATTTTTTGTTTGATGTACTCAATTCCTAACATGATTACAAAGTTTTATTTTAAGTTAAGTGTGAACTTAGGATTTACTTCACACCAATTTTTAAATTATTTACTCTCAAATTTATCTGATGATGTCTCATCTGATTTTAAGCACCACAAAAATCCTTTTACAATAATTGATCTGCACTGCAATAATTGATATTTAAAAACATGTCAAATAAACACTGGACAAATAGAAAACCTTCAAAGCCGTGGTGCAATATTATATATATCATTTCTCTGTATTTCTAAATAATCATGTAGGACCTATAATTCTCATGTATTAATGTCTGCTGTGTATTCTATATTATGACTCATGAATATTTTAGTAAATTTACATTACATTCTTACTTATAACAAAATATCATGTCAGAGTTTTCTAGGGTTTCTTGAGAATTAACTTTTCTTATTATAAGAAAATATTTTCTTGGAAATATTTCTTATATTAAGAAAAATTTCTTAAGAAAATTTTTCTCATTATGAACATTCTATAAGAAATTTTAGCCTAATTTCAAGAAAATTTTCTTAAACTGAGAAATTATTTGTGTGCAACTTTTCTTATTTTGAGAAAATTTTCGTAAGAAAAAATTTCTTAAGAAAAAAAGTAAGAAAATTTTCTTATTATTCTCCCAAGAAAATTTGAACTCATTTTAAGAAAATTTTCTTAAAATGAGTTTTTTTTTTCTTGAAATAAGAAAATGATTTTTTGCTGTGTATGCAGTTATGTTAATAAGTGTTATAAAACACATTTGTACCAAACTGCTTGTACACATTTATAAATACATATAGTTACAAAGATCTTGGATAATGAAAATAATGTCGAAATGACGTTCAACCATTACACATTAATTTTGATGTTGGGGTTTCGGTTTATACGTTTACGGGTAGCGATATTTTACTCAAATGAATGAATTTCTCTGTAATCATTCACATGTTTAATCATGAAATTTTTGTTTGGCTCGACCTTTTACAAATAAAATTATATTGAATAGCCATGCCATAATTATGCTGTGTTTTCTTTGGGGAACCATCCCTATATACATTCATAAGGTTCAAGTGTTTCCAAAACAACACATGTTTTCTGAGAGGGATGACTTAGAAGCAACCGCGACTGCTTTGCACTTGATGACTAGTTCACAGTTGTTTTCACAAAACCCTGGTTTTATTTTCTGTATACTAACCTGCGATTAGAGCAAGTATTGAAATATCGGAAGGAAATTACATCATATTGAACAATGAGATAAACCCTTTGTTGCAATCATCCGCCTTGTTAATTGAGAGTTTCAACAAATTGGTAGTCTTTGCGGCCTTAAAATTATACTCCTTTCTTTGTTTCCTATAACCTTAGAACTTGACAATGAGGCATTGTCTGTAGCAAAGTCAAAGCTGTTTGCAGAATATTTTAAAAGCATTTAATTACATAGCAAGCAAAGGGCTATACAACTCTCAAGAGTGCATTGCTTAAAATATACTGCTATTGATATCATCACGGTAATTGACACGCTAATTGTTCAACTTTTCCGTAAACAAGTCGTCTAGGTTTGAAGTCTTATTTGTTCCTTGTCATTGAATTGTTTATGCTAGTGGCTTGAAGCGGAATGAAATTATCACATTCGTCTAAGTGCTTGTCGAAAATTCATATTTAAGGTGTCATCCAGTAGCCACGCGAGTTTAAACGAGTGCAGACAACTGAGTCACTCGGTTAATGAGGCTACTCGTTCGTTCTCGTTGAATTGTGCATGTTCACTTATGTAACTTTTCGCTCGTGCATTTTTTGCAACATTCGTAATGACCTTGCTTGCCAACTGCAAAATGTCATGACTAAATAGAGATGATTTAATTATACCAACCCAGTGTGCTTTTCGGTCGTATCTGTAAAGGTTTGGGAGAATTGAGTTTTAACCTTCAGAGGACAACCTTAAGTGAATTAGCTGTATCGCTCTTCTTTCATCGCTCATCCGTATTTTTATTCGCGTTGTTTATCGATTTCCTATCGATTTAATTTTCCTTTTTTTAATAATTTTTATTTTGTAAAGTGTTTATACAAAATTATTTGCCAATTACCAGTCTTTTTGCATTCAAACTTCGCGCATGTGCATAACTAACAGAACGATCCAACGTCCATCATGTAGAATTTAGACAAGTTTGGATTTTTCTATGTTCTGTCACAATACTCGGGTATAATTCTAAATCTCTAAAATCAGTTTACCCTCGCATGGCGCTTCGCGCGTACTCGGGGATGAAAAAAACAAACACTTTTCGGATTAATGAAAAGCTTTGGTTAGTACGCAAAATTTTAGCAATGATTATAAGTAATAAACAACCAAATTAAAACAATTGCATTATTTTTTTCAATTAGTGGTGAGCTTGGGTTTGCCATATCATCCTCACTATCTCTATCAATTGTCTCATAATTTCACAACAAGCTAAACAATTTCACAATACGATCTACAGAATTTCATTCATACTCCAATGTAAGGTATTCTGTCCCATTTTTTTGCGAAATGACAATAGGCCTGACCGTTTTACATTCCATGTATCTTAGGTGGTAATGGCCGTGGGAATGGTTAGTTTTACCATTTCAATTTGGTTTTAACCAGTTTTTTGAATTTTAAATTAGTTATAATTATTCAATTTAAATTTTTTAAATTTTTTGACTCAAGCATTTTAAATCGTTTCAACCTTATTTTCGTTATTTTGACCAGCCAGCTTTTACAGTGTACGCGCCGAGCCAATATTTGTTGTGATCATACAAGCAATATAAAGTTATTACTAATATACCATTATTACTCCATTAATTTTTGTTGATTCATCTGCTCCAAAAATCATCATGGCAGAATGTTTTAAGGTAATTATCGCATTTTCTTTATCTTTTAGATTTCAACGAATGTAGTGCAGGTTCCCATAATTGCCATCACAACGCCTTCTGTAACAATACTGAGGGTTCTTTCAACTGTACATGCAAAAATGGATACTCAGGAAATGGAACAGTCTGCCAAGGTTGGTGGTTAATATTAAATATATTTATGATATGATTCTTTGAGAATACTCCCAAAATAGAATAGAAGGACCTTTCGACGATCGCCTCTTGCAAAAACTATTTTATAGAAGTATATAAGGTATTGATCATTTTGAAGTCTTAAGTTGTAAATGAATTGTTTACGTTTATGTGTATATATTTATAAATATTGTTATTTCTATAATTCCTATGTTATTGTAACTAGGAAATTCAGAGCCACGAGTTTATCCGCCCATGCTGTTATGTTGAAATAAAGTTGTTTATTATTTATTATGTACTAAAAAATAAAAATTTTGAACATGTTATGAATTTTATACCAACATTTCTCACTTTTTCTCGTTCATTCCTTTTTGAGATATCAACGAATGTAGTGCAGGTTCTCATAATTGCCATCGCAACGCCTACTGTAACAATACTGATGGTTCTTTCAATTGTACATGCAAAAATGGCTACTCGGGAAGTGGAACAGTCTGCCAAGGTTAGCCGTTGATGTCCTGTATAAAAATTTCTCTGGGATCAAAACGTGAAAGGAAATTTTAATTGGATCGTTTTATCATACGCAGAATAATTTTATAGAAATTTTTCATATATTTGCACGAATAATAATACATGGTGTAACAGAACTTTGCTTCAAAACGTACCAACTGAAAAAACAACACTCACTACAAAGTAATTCTCATTTATTATCTGGAGTTTCGTATACATACAACTACCTTATACAACTCTTATACAACTACCCTTAAGATAACGACTATAAACAAAAGAAGTGTTTTTAAAAGGCACTTCACTAGGAGGACGTTTGACAAAATTTCGAGCAGCACAACAACGATTTTTAAATGCCTTCGTTGATTATTTCTTTAGATATTAACGAATGTAGTGCAGGGTCTCATAATTGCCACCACAACGCCTACTGTAACAATACTGATGGTTCTTTCAATTGTACTTGTAAAAATGGCTACTCAGGAAATGGAACAGATTGCCAAGGTTTGCAGTAAATATTTCATATTTCAAATGCAGAGCAAAAGGAAATTCAGATTTTGAATTAAGATCATTTTGTTATTATGGGTAGAACATTTTGTATAAACTTTCTTATGCATATACATCCTCTATATACGAATGTTATGAATGGTTTCACATCTTCCATTGTGATGCCTGCTGCAGAAAACTGAGATTCACTCGATTCTTCGGCGAGACTCGCATCATTCGCATGTGGTCTATCGCTTTCTGCTGCCATGGTTAGTTAGTTATCATCACTTTCAGTTGCGTCGGGTTGATAAAGATATATCTTCAGATAAATCTTTAGACAACGTTAGACTCATTTGATGGACACTGTGTACTTTGAACTCACCGAATATTTATTTTCGGATAGCGAACATGCAGCGGTTCAAATAAAAGATAATGTTTACAGAAATTGGAGTACAAAAATTAATATTAACAACTCAACTATACAAAATTACAAACAAACAAACATAGACTTAGATGCAGATTTATTTATCTCTTGAGTTGAAAACACTTTTGAAGAACTCTTTGACTTGTATCTCTCGATTGATGCAGACTAATATCGTTTCAGGATGGACTAATTTGGATGCATGACTTTTTTCCGTTTTGGAATCTACTGCGAAAATCTAGATACGCATACATCATCACTGTTGGTGAGGCGGACGGTGGAAGTTTGTTATAAAATCTATTCGTGTAGTCCTCCACGTCCGTCCAGTCGTAATGTTAACAAAAACTTTGTAGATTTTGAACTGCATTTCTTCAAATTTGACAAACTGTTTACGTATCTCATACTGTTTAAATTGGTTCGCTATGGTTTTATATAAAAATATTAGTATTCATAAATTCACGATTAGCATTTTAGTTTGTTTTGAAATTGACTTTTTATGGTTTGCTAACAAGAATACATGAATATTAACCCTAAACTTAACCAACTTCCACGGCCCCCGCACATCCGTAATAAATTATATTCTTTCTTTTCACACTTATAGATGCAGGTACAATTACATTTTCATTCAAACGTCCCACCTATACTTTTGGAGAGGGAGATGGTTCAGTGAGTGTTTGTTATGTGGTTTTCGGGAGCGCTGCTACCTTTAGAGTCACGTAAGTAGACTTTGTTGTATTTTTTCTTAATAATTTTCAGCATTTTCTCACTTTTTAAAAAAACAAACTGAAAAGTCTTTTTTTTCAACATAATTTTATTCAACCATAATATTATTAAACGAAAATACTTAAGCTATGTTTACCGTTAGTAAATTTGTACAACTAAAAGAGCGTAATTTAAAACCAATTTCGTTTTAACTGTTTAATGTGTTTCTTTTCATATTTTAAGATTTGCATCGAGAAATGGCACTGCAACAAGTGGAGAAGATTACTTATATGAGAAGAAAACACGCGAGCTTATAAGCGGAAATGGCTGTCAAGATATTTCTATCATTCAGGATAGCATTTACGAAGGAAACGAAAATTTCACATTTATTGCGGAGTTTAATGACCCTTTCAATGATCAAATAACCGTTGTGGAAACCACAGTGACCATTACAGATGATGACGGTAATGAACTTTGAATGTACTTTTTTGTTCAAGTACACGAATTTTTATCGCATATATATTTTCGGATTAATGGAAAGCTTTGGTTAGTACGCAAAATTTCAGGCAAAATGGTTACAAGTAATAAACAACCAAAAACAATTGCATTATTTTTTTCAATTAGTGGTGAGCTTGGGTTTGCCATATCGTCCTCACTAGATCTCCCAATTGTCTCATTAGTTTTAACTAGTCTTTGGGTTTTTAAATTTTAAATTTTAAATTGGTTAAATTCAATATAAATTTTCTTAATTCTTTCAATCAAGTATTTGAAATCGTTTCGACCTTATTTTCGTCATTTTGGCCAGCCAGCTTTTACAGTGTACGCCGAGCCAATATCTATTGTAATCATACAAGCCATATAAAGTTAAAAGTTATTACTAAATATGCCATTATTACTCTATAAATTTTGTTGAATTGGATTGCAAAAATCCTCATGGCAGAATGTTTTAAAGTAATTATTGCATTTTCTTTATCTTTTAGAACTCGACGAATGTAGTGCAGGTTCACATAATTGCCATCGCAACGCCTACTGTAACAATACTGATGGTTCTTTCAATTGTACATGCAAAAACGGCTACTCTGGAAATGGAACAGATTGTCAAGGTTAGCAATTAATATTAAATATATTTATGATATGATTCTGTAAAAATACTCCCAAAATGGAATAGAAGGACCTTTGGACGATCGCCTCTTGCAAAAACTAATTTAAAGAAGTATATAGGATGTTGATCATTTTTAAGTCTGAAGTCGTAAATAAAATTTTTTACCTTTATGTGTATATATTTATGAATATTGTTATTTCTATAATTCTTATATAATTGTAACTAGATGATTGAGGGCTTGAACATTTTATGAATTTTATACCAACATTTCTCACATTTTCTCATTCTTTCATTTTTGAGATATCGACGAATGTAGTGAAGGTTCTAATAATTGCCATCACAACGCCTACTGTAACAATACTGATGGTTCTTTCAATTGTACATGCATTGCTTCAAAACGTACCAACCGAAAAAAACTACACTCACCACAGAGTAATTCCTATTTAGTATCTGGAGTTTCGTATACATATGGCCTTTTACAACTACCCTTATAAATACGACCATAAACAAAAGAAGTGTTTTTAAAAGGCACTTCACTAAGAAGAAGTTTGACAAAAATTTCGAGGAGGACAACAACGAGTTTTACACACCTTCGTTGATTATTTCTTTAGATATTAACGAATGTAGTGCAGGGTCTCATAATTGCCACCACAACGCCTACTGTAACAATACTGATGGTTCTTTCAATTGTACTTGTAAAAATGGCTACTCAGGAAGTGGGACAAATTGCGAAGGTTTGCAGTAAATATTTCATATTTCAAACGCAGAGTTAAAGGAAATTCAGGGAATAAAAGGCTTTTTTTCTTTAAAAAAACGTCAATTTGGCTTCTTTAAAATTTTCCCCATGGCAGAATTTTTTTTAATTTCATATATTTTAGGTGGTAATGGCCGAGCATAGTTTTGACTACTGAAAGATTTCATTTCCTTTTTACCAGATATTGTTGATTAGTTGTACCATTTTAATTTGGTTTTAACCAGTTTTGGGGTTTTTATATTTAAATTGGTTAAATTCAATTTAAAATTTTTAAATTCTTTGAATCAGGCATTTTAAATCGTTTCAAACTTCCTTTCGTCATTTCTACCAGCCAGCTTTTACAGTGTACGCCGAGCCAATATCTATTGTAATCATACAAGCCATATAAAGTTATTACTAATATGCCACTATTACTCTATAAATTTTGTTGATTTGAATTGCAAAAATCCTCATGGCAGAATGCTTTAAAGTAATTATTGCATTTTCTTTATCTTTAAGATTTCAACGAATGTAGTGCTGGTTCCCATGATTGCCATCACAACGCCTTCTGTAACAATAATGACGGTTCTTTCAATTGTACATGCAAAAACGGCTACTCTGGAAATGGAACAGATTGTAAAGGTTAATAGTTAATATTAAATATATTAATGATATGATTCTGTACAAATACTCTCAAAATGGAACAAAAGGACCTTTCGACGATCGCCTCTTGCAAAAACTATTGTAAAAAGGTATATAGTATAAAGTATATTTTGATGTCTTTATGTATGTGTATATACCTGTATGTGTATAACCCAAAAACAGGTTAAAACCATTATCTTCTCCGGGTCGAATTTTATTTGGATTCGAAAAATCCTGATGGCAGAATGTTTTAATGTAATTATTGCATTTTTTATTTGATCTTTTAGATTTCGACGAATGTAGTGCAGGTTCTCACAATTGCCATCACAACGCCTACTGTGAAAATATTGATGGTTCTTTCAATTGTACATGCAAAAACGGCTACTCTGGAAATGGAACAGATTGTCGAGGTTAGTAGTTGATATTAAATATATTTATGATATGATTCTGTACAAATACTCCCAAAATGGAACAGAAGGACCTTTTGACGATCGCCTCTTGCCAAAACTATTTTAAAAAGGTATATAGTATAAAGTATATTTTGAAGTCTTTATGTATGTGTATATACCTGTATGTGTATAACCCAAAAACAGGTTAAAACCATTATCTTCTCCGGGTCGAATTTTATTTGGATTCGAAAAATCCTGATGGCAGAATGTTTTAATGTAACTATTGCATTTTTTATTTGATCTTTTAGATTTCGACGAATGTAGTGCAGGTTCTCATAATTGCCATCACAACGCCTACTGTGAAAATATTGATGGTTCTTTCAATTGTACATGCAAAAGCGGCTACTCTGGAAATGGAACAGACTGTCAAGGTTAGTAGTTGATATTAAATAATTATATTTATTATATGATTTTGTAAAAATACTACCAAAATGGAATAGAAGGGCTTTGTGACGATCGCCTCTCCCAAAAACTATTTTATAGAAGTATATAAGGATGTTGATCATTTTGAAGTCTTAGCTAAGTTCTTAATAAATTTTTTACTTTTATGTGTATATATTTATGAATATTGTTATTTCTATAATTCTCATATAATTGTAACTAGGTGATTGAGGGCCACAAGTTTATCAGCCCATATATGCTGTTGTGTGCTACCCTTTTGAAATAAAGTTGTTTATTATTTATTATGTATTAAAAAAATAAGACTTTGAACATAATTTTATACCATAATTTCTCACTTTTTCTCGTTCATTCCTTTTTGAGATATCGATGAATGTAGTGCAGGTTCCCATAATTGCCATCACAACGCCTACTGTAACAATACTGATGGTTCTTTCAATTGTACATGCAAAAATGGCTACTCGGGAAGTGGAACAGTCTGCCAAGGTTAGCCGTTGATGTCCTGTATAAAAATTTCTCTCGGATCAAAACGTCAAAGCAAATTTTAATTGGATCGTTTCGTTACAGAATAATTTTATATAATTTTTTCATATATTTGTAGGAATAATAACACATGGTGTAACAGAACTTTGCTTTAAAACGTATCAACAAAAAAAAACTACATTCACTACAGAGTAAATCTCATTCAGTATCAGGAGTTTCGTATACATATAGTCTTATACAACTACTCTTATAATTACAACTATATAAACAAAAGAAGTGTTTTTTAAAGGCACTTTACTAAGAAAAAGTTTTACAAAAATTCGAGGAACACAACAACGATTTTTACAAGCCTTCGTTGAATATTTTTGTAGATTTTAACGAATGTATAGTGAATGTAGAAATTAGTATATAGATAGTCTTAAGAATACAATTGCCCTTATAACGAAGACTGTAAGCAAAAAAAAATTAGGGTTTTTTAAAAGGCTCTTGCAAGAAATAAGAATTTTGACAAAAATTCGAGGAGCGTAACAATATATAGTATACTCAATTAGTCAATAGAGACGTTTCAAAATTCCCGCTAAACAGGGTTTAATCGTATTTATATCGAAATCGAGTACGTTGACGCCCAATTTTTTTCAAATTAAACGTTTACGCTATAGATGCTTTATCTTTAAAAAGTTTTAACTATAAAAAAGTTTTAAGAAATTCTGTCAAGGATATTTTTTCTATTTACGAGAACGTTATTTTGGCTTATGAAAAATTTTCCCCAGGACAGAATTTTTTCAAAACTTTTTTTAAATAAAGCATGCATCTAAAGCGTAAACGCTTAATGCCACAAAAAATTGGGGTGACTGATATAAATTTGATTATTTATCTGTGGGGTTGATTATCACTCTTGAAGAACACTTGACTTGTATCCCTAGCTCGATTGATGTAGACTAATATCGATCGTTTCATTCATGTAGACTGATATCGTTTCAGGATAAACTAATTTGCATGTATGACTTACTTCCGGTTTGGAATCTACAGCGAAAATCTAGATACGCAGTTCGTTATAAACTCTAGTCGTGCAGTCCTCCACTTCAGACATCCAGTCGTAATGTTAACAAACACTTTGTACATTTTGAATTCCATTCCTTCAAATATGAAAAACTGTTTACGTATCTCACACTGTATATATTGGTTCTCTATGGTTTTAAATAAATATACAAGTATTCATAAATTCACGATTAGCATTTTTAGTTTGTTTTGAAATTGATTGTTTTACAGTCTGCTAAAAAGAATATATGAATATTAACCCCCAACTTAACCATCTTCCACGGCCCCTGCACGTCAGTAATGTATTCTTTCTTTTCACATTTTGATGCAGGTACAATTACATTTGTATTTCAAAGTTCCACCCAAACTGTTCGAAAGGAAAATGGTTCAGTGAGTGTTTGTTATCGTGCATTTAGCAATTTGGGGGGCGTTGTTGCCATTAACGTAACGTAAGTAAACTTCGTTGTATTTGTTCTTTATAATTTCTCAGCATTTTCCTACTTTTCCCAACATCAAACTGAAAAGTCTTCTTTTTCAACATAATTTTATTCAATCTTTAGACGGAAATAATACTTAAGCTATGTTTACCGTTTATAAATTTGTACAACCAAAAGAGCATACAACCAATTTCGTTTTTAAGTGTTTAATGTGTTTCTTTCCATATTTTAAGATTTGCATCCAGAAATGGCACTGCAACAAGTGGAGAAGATTACTCATACGAAAAAGAAACACGCGAGCTCAATATAGTCGATCCCAGAGGCACATTTGGCTGTCAAGAGATTTCTATCATTCAGGATAGCATTTACGAAGGAAACGAAAGTTTCACATTTTTTGTGGAGTTTAATGACCCTTTCAATGCCAAAATAACTGTTGTGGAAACCACAGTGACTATAATAGATGATGACGGTAATGAACTTTGTACTTTTTTTGTGCAAGTACACGAATTTTTATCGCATATAGCGTCACGAAAATAAGCATGAAGGGTTGAAAAACACTCTTACTACAAGAAATACATGCATCAGCAACCCCTCGCCATTTCAATTTTGAGAGAATCACCTGAGCTATCCAGACTTAAGCTTATATTACGAAATGCTTGAAATTAGTCGATAGCATTTCCATTTTTGTCGACAAATACACTCATAAAAGTGAAGTAAACCGTCGACGTTTTTCTGCTGCATTTAGCAGGAAATTTATGTATTCTTACACAGGGACGCCGGAACGATGCGAGGGCAAAGGGGGTAGATTTTGATGAAAGGGCACTTCTGTAGCGGTGCATTAGTAAAGAATGTTTCCAAAAATTGTCAGTTGAACTTCGCATCGTCGTGATTTCGGTGCATTAATAAAGAATGTTTGAAAAACTTCGTCAGTTGACTTTCGTATCATCGTGATTTCTCTTTCCAAGATAATTTCTTGTGTTAAGGTGGCTCGATACAGTTTCTCGAATTTTTTTTGGGCTCATTTTGAACAGGGATATTAAGCACCTAAATATTTCACTATAAGGCTGAAAGTTAATATACTTTGCAGGAAACATATATAGAGCGGAAAAATTCTCAGAACCTTTGCCGGGCACCCGTTACCATGGAAACAGAGACGTTTCAAAATGGCCGCCAAACAAGGTTTTATCGTGTTTATATCACAAACGAGTTGGGTGACCCCCAATTTTTTTTTCATTAAACGTTTACGCTATAGATTATTTATCTAAGAAAAAGTTCTAAAAAAATTCTAACATGGGGGAATTTTTTAATAAGCAAAAATAACGTTTTTGTAAATAGAAAAAATTCCCCATGTTAGAATTTTTTTAAAACTTTTTTATAGATAAAGCATTTATGGCGTAAACGTTTAATGAAAAAAAAATTGGGGGTCACCGAACTCGTTTGCGATATAAACACGATTAAACCCTGTTTGGCGGCCATTTTGAAACGTCTCTGTTGCCATGGTAACGGGTGCCAGGCAAAAATTCTGAGAATATTTCCGCTCTAGATATGTCTCCTGCAAAGTATATTAACTTTTAGCCTTATAGTGAAATATTTAGGTGCTTAATATCCCTGTTTAAAATGTGCATCTAAAAATTTCGAAAAATCGTATCGAGCCACCTTAATTTCGATTGTGTTATTCTTGATGCTCGTTTGTAACACTTCTAGCTACTTCGGATATAGAATGTAAATAATCTTTTAAAATGAAAGGGCATTTTTGCCCCCCTTGCCCCTGCAGGTAAAAGGCAACTTGCAGAACAAATTTACCATGGCAACAGAGACGTTTCAGAATGGCTGCCAACAGGGTTTAATCGTTTTATGTCCCAAACTAGTTCGGTGACCCCCAATTTTTTTTTATTAAACGTTGACGGTATAGATGCTTCATCTATAAAAAAGTTTTAGCTTAAAAAGTTTTAGCTATAAGAAATTTTTTTTATTTACAAAAACGCATAAAAAATTTTCCCCATGACAGAATTTTTTAAAAACATTTTTATGGACAAAGCACCTAAAGCGTAAATGTTTAATGCCAAAAAACCGGGAATCACCGGTATAAACTTTATTGGATTGATATAAACAGAATTAAACCTTGTTTGGCGTCCATTTTGAAACGTCTCTGCCGCCATGTTAGCCGAGGTGCCAGGCACAAGTTCAGCTCTAGGTATGTTACCAGCTAAGTATATTAACTTTTAGCTTTCTAGCGAAACATTAAATGTCTAACATCCCTGTTTAAAATGTGCATCTAAAAATTTCAAGAAAAAATATCGAGCCACCTTGATTAACTGTTAAAAAATTCAACTTTCAAAACATCAAAACAGTACAAAATCTTCAAAGACTAATCGTCAGTTAATGGTATAGCTACTTATACTTCGAATATCTATGCTGTGGTTATTGGCATTTTTCAGGCGACTCTATAAAGTTTGAGTGAAATTGGTTTTATCAAAATACGAATCTAAACGTTCAAAAACCTTTTTGAATTTAAAGTAATGTTGGGATAGCTTTTTGTACTCGGTTATGTCTTAAATATGGCTACTGCCATACTGTACTATGCAAATATGGCTACTCGGGAAATGGAACATACTGCCAAGTTTAACAAGAACACAACATGGCTTAATTGTGAAGCATGGTGATTTGTTATTGTATGCATGATACGAGACGACTTGTATTATTGTTGTATATAATTGCTAACTTCTATCTTGTTTTTTTTAGTTGCTGAAGTAAATGGTAAGTGTTCTTGATTTAACATTCTTTAATTGCATAAACCTAGTTGGATGCCTTACTTTTCTCGCAATAATTATTATAACGCAAAATTATGATGCGCTTTGAAAATTCAAATACAATGCGTTTTATTTGATCACTGTAGTTCATTGTGTAGGCGACATAATGTTTTATAATAATATTATATCTTTTTAACAATTTAACTTGACAGAAAAAAAAACAACTTCCATACTATCGGACGCAATTTGACAACGCGACGTGATATTTTCGAGCTTTGTAATTTCGGAGCAATTATAGATTTAATCTTTTCAAATAATTTTGAGAATTATTAATTCGTGGCGTATTCAATCCAACGTCAAATATCAAAATCAATAATGCAGCATATGTGACATCAGTGGCGTAGCCAGCCTGACGATTTTGTCCCGCTATGTAAATTTCGAGTTATTATATTTATTCATTTCTTTACAGATTTATTGTTTTCACAGTCAATGAACACTAAAATATTAGCATAGCAGGACAAATCGTCAGGCTGGCTACGCTACTGTGCGACATATTACAGTTGATTTCATAAAACTTTGGCCGCTCCAGTTGCGAACTCTGTTTGTCCCTTCCGTTTTGTAATTTGTAACGAATTTCCGAAGTTCAAATCGAACTTCGGAATTTCAAAGCAATTTTAATGCAGCAAAGAAATATTATTGTAATTGCTTTGTCCTGGTATTTTATAGTGGTCATTTTATAGCGATTTAGGTGAGTCGAAAGTCGAGTTGAAATTCTGAAGTTCAAATCGAACTTCCGAACTTCTTCGCGAATTACAAAACAGAAGTGTCAACTTCCCCACCCACTTGACAGCTTCCAAACATACGCCTGTATTCTAAAAGCACACTCAAACTCTTCTTAATCTTCTCATAACGTTTCAATGGCGGTATTTCCAGCCGAACAGGGGCTTGATTTTCAGTGATTTACCTTATATCTTTCCATCTATTCAGAAAAAACTTTCTCATTGATCAGCATTAACGAAATTTATATGTCACACTCGATGAGTATGAGTGTGAGTGAGCTTTTTGAATACAGGCGATAGTTTACCTCAATGACATATGCAATTCAGGTTTCAAACACAATTAAACTTTGATGTAGAAAACCTCATTCTACATCAACTTCTTTTGTCCAGCTCCCTTTATTTAAAACAATTCAGCGTCTATATGGAATTTTGTACTCATTTTGTACTCATGTAACTAATTTTCATCAGTTTCTAAAGCGCCCGTCTACGGTTATATAGGTACCGAAAAGTTAACAGAAGTTGACAAAAGTGTAGTTGGGCACGTAAAACAAGTCCTAATAGTTGTCTTGGCATGGCTTGGGCTATGTTTTGCGGTTGTGTTTGTAATTGTAATAATTGCTGGTTTTAGGTAAGTGAATGATAAGGGTAGCACTGGTAGAATGGTACCTGTTCAGAAAAATAATATTGTATTTCTTAATACAACGGCGAAAAATATAAAAAAAAGAGTAAATAAATAAGAAGAAAATAAAAAATGATTTTGGTTTTGCTCCCTAGTAATATTTCACGCGGCAACGCGACGCAATTTTTCGGAATTTTTCAGTTTTTAAAAGCAACCAAGTTTGATATGATATTCAATACTTAAGAATTACTTCAGGGATTTTTGTCTGCAAAAGGGGGGGGGGGCTGGGCGGGTAAGGCACACAAGTTATGGGCAGTAATATGGCGAAAAATAGCAAAATAGCATAAAAGGAAGGTTACCAGTTTTGTTTTACTTTTTTTGCAAAGGGGTCACTGCATGCTCCTGTTTCGCCTTTTTCTATCTAAAGCTCTAATCTTCACTTTCATTTTCATAACAATTTCACCGCTTGAACAGTTCAACCCCTAATTTGTGTTATATGCCCTAGTTTAAAGTTTAGCAATTATTTTTTATGTTAATTTTAGGCTGATAGAAAATAAAAGGCGATATGATTTCAAACCAAGTGTGATCACTGATCCAGGACACCATCCCACGTTTAATCATCTCTATTAGGGCAATGACAACTATCCCTGATGATGTAAAAGAAATTGGAAGACCTTTTAAAAGAAAAAAACTTTTCTGCACCGTACATTTTTAGTTCTTAGCCCGGGAATTTCAGGGCCAAAACATATTCAATAATTTGGGAGTTACATAGTTCGCATATTCAAAGTAGTCCTGTCGGATTTCTTTTGCACGACGTATATTAAAGAACTAGTTTCGGCTCTGCTTGGAATAAACACTGGAAGTCACATTTTGACTATAATTATCATCAATGGAACCAACAATGGTTAATATATACAGTATATAATAATAATAACATTTTAATCTTATATAGCGCATCTTCTATATATGTCCAGAAGCGCTTTACATTAAAAAGTGTATAAAATTACAATTATTAAACAATTATTGAATGAGGTTGAGCAGGATATGAGGAATTATTAAGGCCGAGGTTTGTGTTATCTGCCGAAGCCGAAGGCTGAGGCGGATAACACAAACCGAGGCCTTGATAATTCCTCATATCCTGCGAGAACCGAATTCAATAATTGTTTTATTATTTATTTGCAAAAATTTTGGGCTTAGACTAAACGCTTGCGTTGTAGACAAGGAGACATATGTGACGTCATACCGTGCAATAATTTTTTTCATATCTGACGAAGTGACGTCAAACGTGCAATAATTTTTTTCATATCCGACGAAGTGACGTCACTGTCCAAATTTGGGCAGCTGCCGAGCGGATATGACGATTTCGCCAACAGCTGCTGGCCAATCAAAACTCTTGACTCATTTTCAATAAATAATAATGTCAATTGGCAATCGTTTGTTATTAAATGTTCAACCATATCTCGTGAGACGTAAATAAAATCGACATCTTTATATACACAGTTCTAAACAAATGTGTTTTTAATCCACCCTATGTTAAAACTACGGACTCCGACATTCTTAGTGTCTGTGGTAGGTTATTCCATAATATTGCACCATGGTGCAGATATCGTAAAAAATAATTGCAATTAATTGTAGATAAATGATATATTTTGTCACTATGTTTCGCACTGGCTATTGCGAATACCAAGATCTGTTGCTCGCATCGACAAGTAATTAAATGTAAAACGCAATCATTTGCATTTTTCCCGAAGCGCCGGGCAAGGGTGCAATATTTTTCCTAATCATGATAAATGATTTGTTATCTGACAAGGATCGAAGGCGAAAATATGTGGATGATACAAATGTATCTGAAGTTTTTCCTAAAGGCGAGCAAGGTAAAATGCAATCCATCGTTAATGCAATAAACTGCTGGTGCATAGATAACGATGATATGAAAGTCAACCAAGCTAAGTGTCAAGACTTGCATGACTATCTCTTCTGCGAAAGCCCATCAAAATCTAGACCCAAATTTCGTAAATAACCACGAACTACTTCTGGTATTTTAAGCGAAAATTTTAGGTGTCCATATTTCAGTGGATTTTAAATGGAATACACACATTGCGTATATATTATATCCAAGCCCTCTAAACGCCTCTATTTCCTACGCCTATATAATATTGAAACATGCTGGTCTTCACCACGCTTCTCTTGTAACTGTCTATACTACCCGTATAAAATCAGTCCTTGAATATGGTTGCCTGTTGTGGAATTTTGGAGCCGCTCAGTATCTCTTGCATCAAGCGTGTTCAGAAGCGAACTATTTATCCTGATATTCCTAACATGAAGGCTTTGGAAGCTGTGTCGCTCCCAAATCTATCACAAAGACGATATCATAAAGATATCATAAAAATATACAATATTACTTAAAAACCTTTTCTAAACTGCAACATTTAATTCTACCTGTCATCTGATCTCACCATGAAACAGATAATAATAAGTGTCAAAGGGTCTGTTCACACTATGGTCGATCTTAGATCGATTTGGCCGGATCGATCTCAGATCGATCTCAGGACGATTTTAACGTATTTTTCTGCCTGTTCACACTGCCTCGGCAAACCTGGTCCTATCTTATTTATTTTTAATTCGGATCTCTTCGGAAGAACATCGTAAGAGGTCGGGTTCTGAAACAAGATGGCGGCAGACGAGGCGGCAGAGACACTGGGCAGAGATCATTTCTGTCGCTTTGGCTTTTATAACAAATTACAAAAAAAATCCAAAAGAGACGTATATGCTTAAGGAGGAAATATATGAAGACATTAAGTCAATGGAGAAGAAACGTTAAAAAGAGAGAAGCTGTGCTATTCTTGTATTTTCGAGCACTGTGTAGCAGATCATTCTCTGAACGACGGTTTTGGGTTCAAGAAAGTAAATGCATTGGATCATTTTGGGAAAAAAACGGTTGCTCTTTGGAAAGAAGACAGTCTTTGGCTTCAAAATTTTCGAATGTCTCGGGAAACTTTCGATTTTGTGTGTCACAGAATATCTGGCGATCTTTCGCGTCAAAACACAAGCTTCCAAAAAGCGATATCTGCTGAAAAAAGAGTGGAAATTTGCTTATGGCATTTGGCCACTGGTGAAGATCTCGTTCTCTAGCATGGCGCTTTGGGGTTGGAAAAAGCACAGTGTGCGAAATTGTTCATGATGTTTGCCAAGCAATTGTAGACACGCTACTTACTAGGGTTATTAAGTGGCCAACAGGTGAAACCCTGCGTACTGTCCTTAATGGTTTTCACCAGATCTGGGGTTTCCCTCAGTGTGCTGGAGCGATCGATGGCACACATATCCCTATTGTTGCCTCACGACAATCATCAGCCGATTATTATAATCGGAAGGGTTTTATTCCATTGTTCTGCAGGCTGTGGTTGATCATGAGTACAGGTATGAGGAAATATTTCACCAAGTTAACAATCCATTGATTCCATTCATTATAGTCATGTTCAAGCATTTTGCGCATGCTATTTCTATAAGAGTATAGGCAGCACTACTGCCTTTAGGTAACCTAGTTAGAGCAGTTAGATTGTGGGTTTGTTATTATTTAAATACAATGTGTTTGTCCTATATTAGATGACCATGAACATAAGTGGGTGCGATGTACCAGTCATGTTAATTGGAGATCCAGCATATCTACTTTTGCCTTGGCTAATGAAGCGATATCCAAATGATGGTAATCTTCATCAAGATCAGAAGAAATTCAATTATCGTCTAAGCAGAGCACGACAAGTGGTGGAATGCGCATTTGGACGGCTGAAGAACAGATTTAGATGCCTGCTTAGCAAAAGCTATACAAGTTTGCAATACCTACCAATCAAAGTTGCAGCATGCTGAGTGCTCCATAATATATGTGAGATGAGGGAAGATATGCTTGAGCCTATTGCTAATGATGAACTTGAGCTTATTGCTAATGATGATGAGACTGTTAATGCTGTCTACCAAGTAAATAATGCTAATGCAGAAAAGATAAGAACCTCAATAATTAAAGAATATTTCATAACAAACTAAGAAGGATTTATTTACTTGAACAAATTCATGTTGTAGTAATTAGTTTATGTATAACAGTTTGAGTACCACAAATAGACAGTTACACTAAAGAAAACTGAGGCAATCAGTAGACCAATTCCTTATAAAAAGAAATTAATAATAACAATAACGTAAATGTGTAACTTCATTATTTAACATCAATGATCAACAAAAATGTATAAGTGTATACAACAGTATAAACAGTATGTTAATGCTCAGTTAAAGCTTAAAATAGGTTGGCTGGTTTTCAATGTTTATATCATGTTGCAAAGGTATAGGGTAGAAAGGTGGTTGATAAACTGGTACTGATTGTGCTACAGGTTGTGCTACTGGTTGTGCTCTTCCTGCAACGGCACTTGCAAGAAGTGCCATTGCATCTTTAAAAGCACCAAGCTCCTCTTTCCGTAATTCTCTTTCTTTTTCTGCTTGTTCCCGTATTTCAGACAAGAATTTCTTGTCTGATTCTTGCATTCAAGTAGTGTGTTCTTTAATTGCATTTCCAAATGCAACTTGCATTTTCGAGGGTTTTTCTTTCTTGCATTTACGTTTACTGGACGTTGTTGTTTTGCCATCTTTATCGTTGGTAGGTGCAGGAGTTGTAGGCTTCTCAATTCCGCTGGTTGATTCCTTATTTTCACCATCCTGATCAACTACAGTTTACAAGTGAGCAGAAAGTGTTTTTATTCATTAATCTACTGAACTGCAGAGTTAAGACCTTGAATGAAAACTGAAATGGCCTATTATCTATTTGTTCTCTGCTTGCTATGTGATTATTAAGATTGTACAAAATCCGATCCCTTTATTGTAATACTGCTCTACCTTCTGTGTAATTACAGTACGGACACACCATTTGGTCGTCACAGGATACTGCCAAGGTATTGTTATTACCAGTGTGAGTGCCAGCTGTCCTCAATTCAAACTTTTCGTAACACTCAGGACATTGCTTTTCAATCATCTTCCCTTCGCCATACTTCTGCACTAGGTCGTCTTCTGCTAAATATTTAAAAAACCTCAATTGAAACCAGAACAAAAGGTCCAACTATGGTCTAAAAAAGCTCGTAAAAATAATTATCAACTCACCATCTGAAATTTCTGAAACCGAACCCGACGGAAGAGCGTCACCGGATGAGTCGATGCTGTTTTCTAGTCCTTCGGCTTCAGGACGATCACCAAGAAAACTGTCCATCATTTCAAAATATTTGGGCTGCTTGCATCTTCGGGCCCCAGATCGCGATAAGTTATCTTTGTGCTTCTTATATGCTGACTTTAAGTGCTTTAACTTTGTTCGGCATTGCGTCCAATCCCGATTTATTCCTTTTTTTTCAACAACTCGCTAACTTTTCTATAGATATCCGTGTTTCTGTGAACCCCTTGAAGCTTTTTTTGGATTTCTTCAGTCCCCCACGCCGCAAGGAGTTCCAAAGTTTCTTTGTCAGACCATACATCTCCTTTTCTCGACATTTTCGACGAAAAAACAAGCTTTTTCACTGAATTTTACAGTCGATTAGCAGAATAATATAAAACTGAAGTCTGCAGCGTTCATTAAATTCTGCGACGCCCGCGCGAAGGCGGGAAACTTTGGGGAATGGGAGCTAGACACTCACTTAATTTCAATCCAATTATGTTCACACTTGACAAAGATCGATCTCGAATCGATCTGAGATCTACTTTTCAAGCGGACTGACTCAGATCGATCTGAGATCGATCCTAAACTTTCGGCGAAGGTTCACACAAGGCATGCTTTGTCTTGGATCGATCTCAGATCGATCTAACAGTGTAGTGTGAACAGGCCCAAAGAGACCAGGATCATGATTTTATTATTTGCAAATTGCTTCATTAGTTTCGATTATAATGGTAAAGGGCCAGCTAAAA